CTGGCCGTGATCTCTTAATGGCCCTCATCATCTCTACCAAAGTAAATGGCTCCTCAATCTTGCTGGCTGTAGTTCCCCTCCTGTTTAGAACCCCTGGATACTGAGCCATAGTTCTTTCTCTTCTCTCTTTCCCTTCCTCTGACAAATTTTCTGAGCTATGCACCTTTACAAAAGCCTTAGCCATGATTTCTGCCTTTTCTCTGTTGGAAATTGCTGTCCCCTCTGTGGCTACCAAATCCGTCCCGGAAACACAATTTGTACTGTGCATGTGTGAAACGGACATCACTACCTCTACTGGCCGTCTTTGCAACAGCTCAGCAATTCTTTGCTCCTAGTGGTTTGCGACAACTTGTTCGACAGCCTCAGCAGCATCAGCGAGCCCGCTTTAGAATGGAGGTGTCAATTTATCACCAGCTACACGCCTTTTTCCTGAACGGAGTGCTTCCCCCAACTGAAGCAGAGCGCCGGAAAGTCAGAAGAATTGCACCCAGTTTCACGGTTAAAGGTTTCTACCACTAGCTTAATTTTAAAACTGCAACGTTGTTAAAAAAGCTTGAATGAATGTGAATATTTTTATTGTTGGAAGCATAGACTGTATATATTATGGACAACTTGGTTCTGCCTACCGCCTGTATACGGATTTGAAGCCAAAAAGCTCTCAGTATTGCTGGAATTTTCTTCATTTCCTGAAACCAGCTGTACCAGGTGTCAATCAAAGAAAACATGAACCACTATTAACTTTTAAAAACCGAGCTTCACAGAAAAAAGAGAACTTGAGCACAAACCAGTCTTACTATAACTACATGTCAACATTGCAAGCAGGGGGGAGAAAAATTTATGTTCTGTGTAATAAATTTCTAAAGTTTGTCCACAGCCCCATAAGCTTTGCTGGCGGAGGCGGGATTTATGACCTATACTGCAGCCCATCAACAGAGGGTGCTGTTCTCCAAGTGGCTTCACCCAGCGAGGAGGCAGACTCTGTCCATTCTATATACGGTCTATGATTTTACGATACAATCCAATTCAAAGGATGAGAGGACCAACTAGAACATCAAGCATGTTCTCAGAAAGTATGTCATTAAGAACCACGGTGACTGGGACATCCACCTCCCTGCTGTGGTGTACGGCATCAACACTTGCATTCACATTTTATATATGACATTTTATATTAGATATAAGTTGCTTTTCAATGTACCATCTTTTAAGAATGTATTTTAAACTGAAGTCTTAAAAAAGTTATTGAGAAGTGCCAGAGAAAATTAATTAATGGAGAGAATCCCTGTGATCAGAGTTCCCCCCTCCACAGTCCATATTTCCTGCTCTTCTACTGGCATCAGTGGCGGCTGGTGAGAAAAATAATACACAACCTACCTACATTCAATGTAATCCTATGATATAGATACTGACAGTAGCATACTCTTACTCGTGTACATTAACCTGCATCTCAACAGGTTAGGCTACAGCAAAGGAGCACACAAAACAACAACAGAAAAATAGTGAAGAGCAGACCCACATTTATAACAAATCAGGCTGCATATCAAAGTGATCAGCCATGGAAAACAACACAAACATTTGCTTTAAATACAGGACGGTTTTATTACATTTGATATTTCAGTTGAACTGAATTGAAAATATGTGAACAAATACAGGGTTCCCACTCCTTTATAGAAATCCTTTTCCAGGACATTTTCATCCTGCCTTAAAATTTATTGCTTTCTAACATTGTGGCATGAACATTGTCCGTTATCTTTCTTTATAGTCTGGCTTTTATGTAGTGTCTCACTATAATAAATTTATGGTTTACATTAGGTTTTAATCTTTATATACTCTACTTTTCTACAAACAGATTTTGCTGATTGACTGTTTCAGACTGAGTGCGCTCAAGCACGCTTAGCTGAGCGCACTGCCGTTATGTGGACTTGAGTACCCTGAGTGAGATGGTCCCGTTTTTGTGAAATGGGACAGACTACCTTTCGGAGACTTCCCGCCCTCAGGCTCACGTTACAACTGACTTGAAGAAAAGCCGCGGAGTGCAGCAGTTATTTTTTAACTGTGCCACTTTGCACAGACACAAAACAATAGATACATACAAGCCCAGATCATTTCCACAAAATTCATCCAATGATTGCATGTTTTGTATAAAGGAGTATGAGGGCCATATTGAGAAATTTTTTAAAGACTTCGAAATCAAAGTCGTGAATTTACAAGAATGAAGTCAATAATTTATGAGAATAAAGTCGTAAGGTTACCTGTATGAGAAATACATCTTTTCCACTGGGAAAAAAACAAAAACAAAAACAATCAGGTGGACTTGGAGGAAATCACTGCTTTTGTGGAGGCAGAAATGGATATGCTGAGGATATATCTGTCAATGCAGCCGTAAATATCCGTGAATGACATTGAGCTGTAATTTATGATATGAATCCATATGCCACAATGAGGCATTGGTGTCTCTGCAGGTGAAGGTTACCACTGGTGTCAGCGACGTGGTGCTCTTCGGAGCTTGACTTCCTCTGGATTACAAATATTGATCATCAGTTGGTGTGGTTTTGAGACCGAATTTAAAGCGCGATCAGCATTTCGAGCCAAATGGGACACTGTTCGTGATGACATGACGCACACTTCAAATGCGCCGTTAGACGGTGAGGTCTCTGAAATGAGATCTGGTTATGAACGTGCTTACGTCATTCAAATTAGGGACGCTTGGGCGCTCATCCCTGGCGCCCAAGCGTCCCTTTTTCTTTTTCTTTTTTATTTGGCTAGGATAAGCTAACTTTTTAATGCAGAACTGTGATCTCAGCATGTGTGAGAGAGCAGAAAGCTTGGGCGCTGGCCCGTAGCGCCCCTGACACTAATGCACAACAGTGATCTCAGCATGCGTGAGACAACAGACGTTTCGAGTGCGCCCCAGTGCTGGTTGGAGAGATCGCTAATGTACAGTGGCCTGGAAGTGCAAAACACAACCGCAAAAGAGAAAACACGACAGCAAATCAAAACGCAAAAGAGAAAACGCAACCACAAATCACAAAACGCAACTGCAAATCACAAAACATGACAACAAGAGAAAACGCAAAAGAGAAAACGCAACCGAAAATCACAAAACGCAACTGCAAATCACAAAACACGACAGCAAATCACACATGCAAACGCAAAAAAGAAAACACAACAGCAAATTACATATGCAAACGCAAAAAAGAAAACGCAACCGCAAATCCCAAAACACGACAGCAAATCACAAATGCAAACGCAAAAAAGAAAATGCAACTGCAAATCCCAAAACACAACAGCATCTTCTGTCTTCTTCTTCTACTTCGTTGTAGTTTAATGCCAGAAAAAGTCCAGGCAAGTTGGGTGTGGCTCAGAGCGAGAGTGGGCAAACTATCTTACAGACTATCTTTTGACATTCTCCATCATTTCACTTCTCTTGAACTAAGCCTGATGGCAGGCACAGTTTCATGCTAACTGACATATATTTTAGCTTGGCTTCGGCGCCACAACCCATGGTAGTCAGACAATTTCTCTGACTGTTCTGTGTTAACTTTGTATATATTTGGTAGTTTCTGTCCATAATGTATAATTAACTGTGGCATGCAAATATTCATGATATTACCAATTAACTGTCAATTGATATTTAACATGACCCACTAACAGTCCAACTTTTGCAGCAGTTGTGGAAAAAGGCTGCAAGAAGCAGACGGTGACAGTCCATCAAGTAAGTTAAGGGATGTTCAATTAATGTGTTTTGCTACTTGCGGGAGTTGAGACATTACATGAGCAGCGTTAATTTGGTTAAATTGGCAGTTTACTCCGCTGGGGGTGGAGTATTACCTCTACCTGCTGGATCAGTGTCGGAACGGGAAAGTAAGCACTCGAATCGACTCGTCTGTCCTTTGACCTGGAAAGACATGAACCGCGGCGCGACAGTCGGTGACGATGTTTTGCCGATACTGTGGCAAAGAGCTCCCGGGACAACCCAACTTTTGCAGCAGTTGTTGGAAAAGGCTGCAAGAAGCAGACGGTGACAGTCCATCAAGTAAGTTAAGGGATGTTCAATTAATGTGTTCTGCTACTTGCGGAAGTTGAGACATTACATTAGCAGCGTTAATTTGCGTCTCTTTCCTTCCCTTGCTCAAGCACTCCACAATTGATATTTAACATGACCCACTCACAGTCCACTTTTTCGAAAAATCTTGCAGATAAATGTTGGTCTGATGAGCATGGTGAAGGGAGGTGGTCTCAAGCCACTGCATGGGAGAAGTCTGTGCCTTTCCATACATCCTGACATCACTGCCCCAGATGTGCTTGATCAGGCTGTGAAAAAAATGAAGGACTTCAATAAAGACCTTGGTGATGGACCTTTCGTCCTTCTTCATCCAGATTGCTCTGAAGTGGTCAATGTCCCTGGCACAGAGACACCATTTATGTTAAAGACATACAAGGAGGAAATTGGCAAAACATATCAACACATCACCATTTACATCTGCTCCAAAACAGACTTTGAGGAAGGTAAATTGTGTTGTTATGTTCTAGTTGTGTCCAGTGCAAAGATGCCTGGCTGTGTTATATAGATTTTGATGTAGACACTGGGTTTTAAAAAGATGAGATGTTTTAATGGCTTACCCTCACTTTTGGATTAGCAGTTATGAATTTTCACAGAAGCTGTCATGTGAAATAGTTCCTTGGATTTTGTTAGTTTTTCCTCAATGTGTTTTCAGCATTCAATGTTCATGCTCAGTTAACCAGCTTGGAGTTAAAAAAGCATTTTCTCTATGTTTTAGCTTCTTCACAAGCATTTATCATTCAATTGATCTTAGTTTTGTTTAATATTTTGCAGTTGGAAAGTTGTCTGCCACATGTGACACTGACTTGGACCCTGAGATTGTGATAAAGAGAAATACAACGTTTGATCTAGCTGATACACTGGTGTATTTTATATTTGGATGACCATTTACTGGTACTAAACAAATTTGTCTTTACCACAGCCATTCGAACCTTATAACATGAGCAGTCCTGTACACAATGAGCCTGAAAATCTGTACTTACGGTGTGTGTGTGTGTGTGTGTGTGTGTGTGTGTGTGTGTGTGTGTGTGTGTGTGTGTGTGTGTGCATGTGTGTGTGTATTTGATGTTTGCTTGGTTTTGTAATGTCACTACTATATTTTGTAGTAAATTATGATTTCTGCTTCTATGCCCTCTCAGGAACAGTGCTAGAGGGCTTTCATTGTCTTCTGATGTGCCACAGGTAATGAGCTTTTAAAACGAAATTTGTGTAGGGATCACTTGGTCAAAGTTTTGAAAATAATTGGTGATGGGCCACAAAATTGAAATTGGTGCACCAATTTTTATAGCTGTGTTTTGTTAGTTGTCATTTATGTCCTAAGCACTCATGAGGAGCTGTCTTTATTTGCTAAAATATTTAGCATATTTCTACACTTATATATTTCTTCTTTCTTTTCAGACCAAAGTCTTGGATAATGACCATAACAGTGCTGGTCCCTCTGGATGCCATGATGTCAAGAGCTCATGTTACAGGTGTGTTATATCTTATCTTTAATGTTAAATGGTGGACAGAATATTTGTGACGCAGCACAACAAAGGTGTTGACTCGGAAATAAACACATTTCTGTGCAAAATAATATCTCCATTTTTCAGAACTTACACCAACCTCTTTGGACCTATCATCATTGATGATGATGATGAGGATGAAATTCCCGTTCCTGACAAAACAAATGACATGGCTTCTGAAGACTTTGAGTGAGTCATAGACATAAGAAAATTAACCAGCTCTGTGTTTTCCATAAAATTACATCATTCAAAAGTGAGAAGTCACTTAAATGAACACCTCAGACTTTCCCTGCCTGTAACTGCCTGCCTCAGGTCCAGTTGTTAAGATGTGTGTTTGAGTAGAGTCCATTGAAAAGAAGTTATAAAATTAAATGTGCTCATTGTTTCAGAGAGTGACTCATCAGCATCTCTTGTACATAGATCAACATTATATTTTAGACAAGTATATTTTAGAGTGTAAAGTAAGTGTCTCACTTTTTTCTTTTTCTTAAGACCTACAAGTGTGCAGGCAGCGGAAGTAATTGCAAATCTGGCACTTGCAATTGACCACAAGAAAGTCAGCCGGTTCAATATATCAAGAGCTGATGTGTGGGATGGAGCTGTGCGCGGATTTCGACGCGGCACATACTCCAAATTCAGCGACATCTTTGTCAAGGTTACAGATGACGCCGGTTCCTTTGAAGAGGGGTTGGATACAGGTGGGTCAAAACGAGAATTCCTAACACTTCTCATGACTCACCTCAGAAGTCGCCCCATCCTTGATGGACCTCTCGAAAGACGTTATCTCGTGTACAATTCCACAGGTGAGTTTAATAATAGAACAGATTGTATTTTAAAAATTTTAAGTTTCCAATTATTTCATCATTTTTTTTTCAAGTGATGTAGACGATAATCGTGCATAATAGTTCTCTACCCTCTGTAACAGCTGTCAGGGAAGACAAGTACTTTCTAGCAGGCAAGATGATAGTTGTTTCCATTATACACGGGGGACCTGTACCACATTTCCTCTCAAAGGACCTTGTCAATCACCTACTAGGGAAGACAACTTTCAACGCCACTGTGGAAGATGTAACAGTCTCATGGACTGAATTTGCTAAGGGGTCCCATGAAAATTATTTCAGAAATTGAGAATGGACTATGCTCAAGGTCATAAGTTATATTTATGTAAAGGGTCAGATTTCTTATTATTTCAATGAGAAGTAAAGGCATTTAATCCTATTGGTATAAAATAATGACAAACATTGTCAGGATTGACTGGCAAGTCTGCAGTTTTTGACTGCTCTGCAGCAGCATTCAGGCGTGCTGGCTCCTGTTCTGTGCCATTCTTCCAAGGCCCTGCCTGCATCAGAAATGGAAAGCCTCTTCCGCCCAGACCGCAGCCCAAGAGGCAGCAACAGGTGGCAAAAGGAGAACCAAACAATGGGATTTTGGGCTGACTTTCTTCTGGATTGCGAAGGTTTGTCAAGGCTTTGTTAGATGTTAACCAATACCAGTGTCCATTTTTTATTAGATTATATTGTATTTGTCTTAAGGGGGAAATGCCAGCAGTTCGACTGTGGTGGTGTATTCAGCTGATGGAGAGATTCTGCACAGAAGGGTATGGCTGGTACTATAGACAAACTGGCACTAACATGGTCCAACCTGGTATTATTTGCACTTTTGGCTCAGGCAGGCAAAAGATCAGGTCAGACTGAACAGAACAGTAGTATACAAGCAAAGTTCATGAACACTGACATTACTTTTTTAAAGGCATGGACATAGATTTGCCTTCTGGACTGAGGAAGCATCCCTTCTCCTCCAAGGAGCTCTCCAGCCTGTCTTCAGGGTGCCAAAGGCAACCTCCTCCAAGCCTTTGCCAAGTCCAGTGAGACAGGTGAAGAGGACTACAATGAGGTAACCATTTGTAAAATTTAACCACATGATGTTGATGATGGGACTGTTCATCACTATAGAAGTTACTTACATGGTAATAATGTTCATCTCCATGTAATGTGATAATCATGTTTTTCTTTAAAGGTTGAGGCTGAGGCTGACAGGTGCTTCTTAGTGGAGGTAATATTTTTATTTATCTTTTTCCTTAAATTGTGGACATAACAGAATGAGTAATTACGGTCACAGGCAGCTCCATCAGGGCAGAGGGAGGCACTATTGTGCAGTGAGTGAACTAATTGTCATGAAAAACATTATTCAATATATTTTCCATTTTCAGTGTGTTTATTTCTGCAACCTAATTTACAAATTTTGTATTTTTATCATCATCGACTCATCTATATTTTACAGTTGCCAGCATGCATCTTGGTGGACATATTAGAAGAAGTTGTACTCCATGAAGGTGATGGAGCAATCTTCAAACTGGCTCTGGTGTGCTCCACATTTAGAGACATTGGGCTCTATTTTGGTGCCTCGCCGGAGACGTGCCGCAAGCGCAGCGTCAGTCAGATCCGCCGCGCTGACAAGGCGTTCCCAAGCACATTTTGGTATTTTGGTGAGCCGCGCAGCCCAGCGTAAGTATCCCCCCTCCCTAACTCAGCTCCTCCCAGCACCATAAGTCGTAGACGGGGCGTGTAGTTGGTTTAACACAGCCGAGACCTGTTTTCACCAATCACATAGGCTCCTCTCCTTGCCTTTAAATCCGCCACAGGTGAGGCGTATTACTATTTTCATGGAGTAGTCAAAGAGATCAAGAGATGTCTTAAGACAGTAATGCCACAAGATGGCGACAGAGGGCAGCTCCTCAACAAGTGTCCTCCACACTCTCTCATATGAGCACAGATGGATTTAGTGCGCGTAATGTTGGACCCACTGGTAAGACAAACACCCGTTTCCACAAATAAAGACACTCACATAAAGTTGCTCATATTCAAACCTCACGTGACAAAGGTGGGTTGAGCGCACAGATCACAACATAAACTCCAAAAATGGCATTAAAATCGGAACCATCTGTGCGTAAATGACCCATCGCGCTCCGTGGCCTGGCTCTTTCTTTCATAGATGTTGGCATATAAAATAAATTTGCCTCACAAAACTGAATATTATAATATCCGTATGTCGGCTTAAAGTAGATAACGCATCTGAGCACTGAAACAAATCATCTGTTCAGCTGCAGCAGCAGCAAGACGGACAGAGGACACGGAGACGTGTCCAGGTCGAGCTGTGCGAGAAATAAGAGGAAGAGGAAGAAAGAAAAGGAGGGAGACACATTACATATCTTGTTAACTTCATCATGTGTGTATATTTACTAGATATTTAATTTAATTTGATGCGGTTTCAGCTGTGTTGATTCGGTCAGGTTGTGTGTCCAAACGCGTGCCAAACGCGCTCATCAGATCAGATATAGATCAGAATATATCGATATAGATCTAAATGTATGTGCTGACTCTGATTAATAGTTGATGATGATTATTTATTGCACTGAAATGTGCCTGACACTGTGGAAACCTGCCGGTGAGGCATCAGTGACGTATGTCGATACGCCGCCGGTCTACCAAAATACTACAAGACCAGCTGCGTTCCGCCTTGCGCTGAAAGCTGACCAGGTTTGAATCGGCGAGCTTTCAGCGCACTTTACACGCCGTTGGCGAGCACGAAAATGTCACTGCGCCAGCTGATTCTGTCGAAACCTCCCCCTGCCACGCCACCACGCCCAGCTTGGCGGATCTCGGCTCGCCTCCGTGCGGCTCATGCCACGAAAATGCCAAACTGGCCTTACGCTGGGCTCCGCCAGACGAAAATACAACTGCGCGGGGCTCGCCGCCCTCCGCCGCCTCACCGGCGCGCACGAAAATAGAGCCCATTGTGTGCACTGAATATTTAAGAAGGCGAGCACACTCTAAGTGGCTTCACAGTAAGTAATTCATTAAATGATGCAATGATATATAAAATTATAGAGAGGAGTTCTGAAATATGTACACCATTGAAATCTGCCATGAGTGTGGAGAGCAATATAATGGCCATGAGGTATGCTATACTGTATAATGTTATATTAGTGTCATTATAGACACTAGAAAATACTAACAATGCACAGACATCATGAAACCATATCACCTAAAGGCCATTCTTCTCTCTGTTTGATCTTTTTTTTTTACAGGATATGTTGGGAGAAGGAAAAGGAGAGAAGTTCCAGCATTTTACTCGGAGGAGATGCACCTAGGATACTGCAGCCACTTTTGCTGCCAAATGTGATGAGACAAAACAAATCAGTTAATACTGTAGCGTGCGATGTTGCTGTTTGCTCGTGGTTTATTGAAAAAGAAACATCTAATTGGATTTGTGGATGTAGAATTCTCAATTATTGCATTAATTAATTGTTACACTTGGTATGTGTTACTGTTTTTCTGCAGTTTTTCTGCTTTCTGTATTGGTATCCTGTCTGTCTTCCAGAGTTCTTTGCTGGTGGGCAGTTCCTGTGTGATGTGTCAACCTGTTTTGTACATAAATAAATCCCCTTTTATTTTTTTGCAATCAATCCTGTGTCATGTCCTCAGCACATTGCAATTTTGAACTGATCATAACACATTACATGTATTGATAGATAGGTAAGTATTTGGTAGATAGATAGATAGATAGATAGATAGATAGATAGATAGATAGATCACACACACTACATAAAATCCTCTGGAAGTGTGTGGCTGCCCTTGGTGCCCCATGGGCAGCCACACACCTCCAGTGCATGCCCCCTTGATAATTTGAAAGTCAGAGAACCAGGATTTTGGCCGGGTGGTGGCGCTCTCTGTGGCCCAAAAGGTCTTACTATGCTGGGCAGGAGCTGTAGCGAATGCCCCTGTATTGGCCCTGGAGCCCTCTGCTAGCTACTCAACTGGTGTCCGTAATCAATTGACTGTTTGTATAAAGTTTTTTTTAAGGTGACGTATATTTGCACATGCACAGTACCATATGCACAGTACGGGTCAGGTAGGTAGCATGGGTAGCACAACACGCGAACTTCACAGACTGCGGTCAAATGCATTGAAATACGAAGAGAGGAAGTGATGTTTTTTCACACACATGCAGTACAAATCATGTTTCCGGACGGATCGGATAGCCACACCCTCAGATGTTATGACCGGATACTCCCCTCTCTCCCCTCCCATCTCTTTAACCTTCCCCATACTTCTCCCACCGGAGTAGTTCTCATCACAGAAATTCCTCCATCTTGTCCTCCTTGCTTGACGTATTGTTCTTCTTACCACTGCCTGTGCCTTTTCATACTGGATCAAACTCTGCATGTTATGGGTTCTTTTAACTTGTCTGAATGCTCTGTTCCCATCTCTTACAGCCTGATGACATTCTTCTGTCCACTATGGCACCATCTTCATGTTCCTCTTGTCTTTACTCTTGGGTATAGCGCCATCTGCTGCCTCAACAATTGCTGATGTCACCTGTTTATTCATTTCGTCAATGTCTCTAATCATTTCTATCCTGTTCATTGATTCCTCACTCACTCTTTGAAATTCATCCCACTCTGGTTTTTGAAATACCAATTTTAATATACTCCCACTTTTCCTCACTTCTACTCTCTCCCGTGCCTTGCATAAGACTGGGTAATGGTCACCTCCGATTGTTGAAGCTGTCAAAAACCCAGTTACTGATTCCAGCCAATGTGTTAGATACTAACGTTATATCCAGCGCTGATTCAGGACCCGCTGTTATGTTTACCCTAGTTCTCCTGCTATCAGTCATATACACCAATCCCTTTCATCCATCAAATCTTCAGTGTCTGTACCCCTCCTCACACCGTGCTGTGAGCATTGAAATCTGCACACCAAACTACTTCACTTGTCTTGTCCTTCTATCATTACTAGGAAATTCAAATCCAACCTTTTACATGGATTATAGTAGTTAATTTTAACCACTTTCTCCCCTCTTTCCCATACTTCCACTACTACATATTCCTGATCCCCTCCCTTTTCCAGTAGCCTATATGGAATGTCTTGTTTTATGAACGTTGCACAGCCTCCCCCTCGGCTTTTGTCTTTCCTTATCACTGTATACCCCTGTACTACAAAGTCTAGATTTGGTTTTAACCACATTTCCTGGACACATATTACAAAACCCAATTCCACTGAAGTTGGGAAATTGTAGCAAACATAATTAAAAACAGAATACAATAGTTTGCAAATCCTTTTCAACCTATATTCAATTGAATACACTACAAAGACAAGATATTTAATGTTCAAACTCATAAACTTTTTTTTTTTTTTGCAAATTAACTCACAATTTCATGGCTGCAACACGTGTCAAAGTAGTTGGGACAGAGGCATGTTTACCACTGTGTTACATCACCTTTCCTTTTAACAACACTTAATAAATGTTTGGGAACTGAGGAGACTAATTGTTGAAGCTTTGAAGGCGGGATTCGTTCCCATTCTTGCTCGTAAGTATTAATGTTGCCTTCACAGATGTGTAAGTTACCCATACCTTGGGCACTGATGCACCCCCATACCATCACAGATTCTGGCTTTTGAACTCTGCGTCGATAACAGTCCGGATAGTTCTTTTCCTCTTTAGCCCAGAGGACACGACGTCCACGACTTCCAAAAACACTTTGGAATGTGGACTCGTCAGACCACACAACACTTTTCCACTTTGCATCAGTCCATCTTAGATGAGTTCAGGCCCAGAGAAGCCGGCAGCGTTTCTGGATGTTGTTGATAAATGGCTTTCACTTTGCATAGGAGAGTTTTAACTTGCACTTACAGATGTAGCGACAAACTGTATGAGTGACAGTGGTTTTTTGAAGTGTTGCTGAGCCCATGTGGTGATATCCTTTACACATTGATATCGGTTTTTGATACAGTGCCGCCTGAGGGATCGAAGGTCACGGGCATTCAATGTTGGTTTCCAGCCGTGCCACTTACGTGCAGTGATTTGTCCAGATTCTCTGAACCTTTTGATGATATTATGAACCGTAGATGTTTAAATCCCTAAATTCTTTGTAATTGTACTTCGAAAAAACGGTGTTCTTAAACTGTTCGACTATTTGCTCACACAGTTGTTCAAAAGTGGTGAAACTAGCCCCATTCTCGCTTGTGAATGACTGAGAATTTTGGAGGAAGCTGCTTTTATACCCAATCATGGCACCCAGCTGTTCCCAATTAGCCTGCTCACCTGTGGGATGTTCCAAATAGGTGTTTGATGACCATTCCTCAAATTTCTCAGTATTTTTTGCCACCTTTCCCAACTTCTTCGGCATGTTTTGCTGCCATCAAATTTTGAGTTAATAATTATTTACAAAAAAATAAAGTTTTTGAGTTTGAACATTAAATATCTTGTCTTTGTAGTTTATTCAATTGAATATAGGTTGAAAAGGATTTGCAAATCATTGTATTCTGTTTTTATTTACGTTTATCACAATTTCCCATCTTAAATGGAATTGGGTTTTGTACATCCGGTTTATCAGCCATCTCTTTAATGAAATGCTTAAATTCCTTGCCATTGGCCAGTAAGCTCCTGGCATTCCATAGTAGGAGTATCACCATAATTAATACTACCCAACCCACTGTGTTTCCTGACTTGACTGATTAGCAAGGTCTTCCCTCACTTCTTCCCATGTCAGTCCCGCTAATCCCAAATGATGCACTGCCGCTTTAACAATGAGCTGGATTTTTTCCCTTTTGATTTCACCTCAGCTGTACTGTTGACCACACCTGCGATGAATGTTACCAAATCCATTTTATCCACATCCTGTCATTTGTGCTTTGTCGTCCCTCTTGACTCCCCAGTACTGCTTGATCATTAGCTCCATCACTCTCCCCCCTTGACACTCTTACTGCTTCAACATAAGAAATCTTTTTCTCCACTCTTACTTTTTGGATATTATTCTCCCTTTTCATTACCTTACATCCACCAAATGCAACGTTATGTGCCCCTCCACAGTTGCAACAATTTGGTTGCACCCGAGCTCCACATTCTCTATACTCATGAGCTGTGTCCGAATTGCCAAGTAGTAGTCGAAGTAGTAGTCGAAGTAGTAGTCGAAGTAGTATCTAGCATGTCCGAATTGGCCACCGGAGCGAGTAGCATGCTACTTCAGATACTACTTCAGATGCTAGACACGCCCACATTGTAGGTTGGTCTCGGTGCATCCTACGGGCATGCTACTGACCCAAAATGCACCGCGGGCTTCTTCTTCGTCCTCTTAAAAGTTGTAGAAGCGCATGTGATGCTAGCGCCACCAGCTGCTGCCTATTTAGATGCGTCGCGAACGCCGGCTGGCCACAGCAGCGCGCACCATGTCGGAGCAGCAGCAGCAGCAGGCGGGACCGCAGCAATACAGATGTAAGTTTCATGTAACTTCACACACTGTCCTAAAAAATGTGCGGTTGTATCTCTTTGTCATGTCATGGTGTCATATTTGCCCAAGTAATCATTTTATGAGCAAGTGGCGACATCATGGAGGTAAAGCTCACTTATTCCATCATTAAACTGCACAGCTGCAGTACTACAGCCAGGCCCGCAGATGAGGGGCTTCAGTTACCACTGTCTGCACGGGCGCAGTACCTACTCTCTGCCTGCGGGGGTCGTCTTTCCCCACCGCTCGTCTAGTGTGTCCGAATTGGGCCAACGTTTTTAGTATGTAGGAGTAGGATCTAGCAGTAGCACGTAGCAGTAGCATGTAGTATCCGAGCGGGCAGTTCGGACGCAGCAATGGTCTTCTCTACACTTAGCACACCTCCTCTTCTCCTTGCAGTTCCTGGCCATGTGACCAAACCTTTGGCAGTTGAAGCACCGAAGTGGCCTTGGATCATAAACTCTCACTGGGTAACTCATAAAACCCAGGAACACTTTCTTAGGCACACACTCTCCTTCAAACTCAATCAGTACAGTTACACTATCCATTCTCACTCCATCTTTTGTCGTCTTCAGTCTTTGCACATTCATTATTTTTCCTCCTTCAATATTCCTCTGAAGTTCCTCCATACTCAGACTCAGTGACACCCCTGTAATCACTCCTTTGCATCCGCCACCATTTTGTGCCCCAACCCTCCCTATGCCCGCCACCTTGTTTTTCCCCAGCTCTTTCAGTTTGAGTGCTTTCTCAGCTTGTTCTCTATTAGCACATTTCACCAATAAATTGCCATCACTTAGAACCTTTGCAAACTGTATCTCTCCTATTTCACTTGCTAGGATTGATGTTAGAACAAGTAGGCTAATCTTCATATTCTCTTTTCATTAAATCGTATGCTGACAGACCAATTCTCAGGTGTCTGCTTCTCAGTGTGGTGAGCTCCTTCTTCCTCACTGCTATAACTGTCATCACAATCTTCCTTTCTCCTTTTATTCCTCCCTTTACTCCATCCATTCGCTCCCATCTCAGACTCACAATCTCCCCCTTCCTCCTCAACCATATCTGCCACACTGCCTATGTCTTATCCATTCACGGAACAGTTGAGCTCAACTGCCAGGAAATTATTTCCAGCTTGGTCGGGATTTCCCACAATTCGCCGATTACCGTATTTCTCCGTCCAGGCCCAGCTGATGACACCGCCATCTCCTGTCAACCTCCTGGCTTCGATTCTGAAAACTCCCTACAGAAAACTCGCTTCTCTCAGATTTGTCTTGTCTCGCTCGCTCCTCCACTTCCGCCTCCCCAAATGCTTTTGTTTCCTGTTGATTCAAGTTAGAACAGATGAAATGCCTTGAGATAAAAGATTAATATTCTTGCCAAGTAAAAAGTATTTGTATGCAAAACTAATCATAATAATAAAACCAAACCATATTAATGTTTGAAGTGATTTTGACTTTGCAACATCCTTAGTCTGTAATTTTTCGACAGTATCGCAAGAACATATAAGTAAGTTACTCTATAGTCCTTTAAAACACACATGCTCACAGTGACAGTGTGGAAGTGTGACACACAGTAAAGGACTTTATTTGAATAAGTATTGGATACAGTCAGTTCAAGATGTCATACAATCCTTTTTCACATTTTACAAACATCAAGCTCAAATGTTGGACTCCAATCATAAACATGAGCAAAGTTTACATTTGGGAAAGTTTACAGTATTTTATAAGTTGTCATTTTTAATGGGTAAATGTTATCATTTTTGAATGCTCCCCTCTAACCATCATATGAGACACAACTGAGAAAAGTCCTGAGTTTTTGAAGCTTTAAATGAGGTTAAGAACTTATCTTGAAAAGGTGTCCTTGACTTTGCTGAATGCAAACTTATTATTTCTGATCTATGTTACTATGATTGACAATTTTGTTGCTTTAGTATAGTAGAATAATTCATATTCATGTCCATACTTAAAGGAATATAACAACACATGACAAATCATTACTCAAACAAGGAACTGAAAAGGGAAATTGGGCAGTGATGCATCATACAGTGGTGTGATATTCAGGAAGAACAACAGTTTTGGTATTGAATAGAATATTATTACTTCTGTTTTAATTTACAAGCACCATCAGTTTTACCAACTCTACACTTTTGTTTGGCAGTTCATGCAAACTGCGGCAAAATGTTTGAAACCAGCCACCACCAAAGATATGTAAAAACAGCCCTTATTGATGTAAATTAATCAGAAACTTAATTTTAAAGGTCAGAATAGTCTGGTGAACAGAGATCTTAAAGACTTATGTGATGATCTCCTTTGATTATTTGTTTTTATCACCATCAAGTCTCACATCAGAAGTCATTCGACAGTGTGCGGTGAACAGTGTGGTCCAGACCGATCTGATGATGGTGCATGAGATGCTGGCTTGTGGTGGGGCCATCATCCATCATAAAGTCCTCCTCTTCCTCGCCCCTGTACCCCTCTGTGCCATCCTGAGAGTAGCTATGCTTCATCACCAGGATGCTCCTCCTTCCTACTGGTGTAGTGAGGTGGGATAGGTGCGGCGATTGCTGACTCACCATCATGGGGGGCAGTGGTGGTTGAACAAGAGTGCCTCTGTCAGAAGCAACGCCATCCCGCATACTGAGGTTGCTGCGGCTGCCGTGGACACTGCCGTGCATGCTTCCTGCCTGGGAGCCACAGTGGTGGTCGCGGATGCATTTTGAGGAAGAGCGGCGGAGTTTGTGGAACTTTTCATAGTCCTCGGCCAGGCCGGCATCAGTCAGGTCGCCAGATGGGGCGCGACGCAGAGTGCAGAGCTCATAGTGGGGGGGCTCAAAACCAGGGTGGAGAAGAGCAGGATCAAAGTCATCTCTAGGGGTAAGAGAAACAAGGTCAACATCAATAAACAGAAACATGAACACAAGTATGCAGATGTAGTTGATGGTCATGGATACAGAATAAAGGTTAACAGGCTGTGCCTAAAAAGGGATTTTCTAATCTTATGGTTGTTCACGGTGGCTTTAAAGTGCTTGTTGTCAACATTCAGCTTTATACTGAAGCTTCATACTTATCACTCCTATAATGTGACAGCAAAGACATGCTAGGCAGCCTTTCATCACTATTACAAACAATCACTGTACACACACAACTACGCCTCCAGGAATAATTTAAGTTTTAGTTTCTTAAAATTATGCAGTCAAATGTATCATTTCAGATAGATACAAAAATGTAAATATCCTATCATTTTTTGCTTATCTATGACAAAAATACTTATTTTGTGAAAATGTGATTTTCTCTGCTTTTTGCCTGAAATTTTGTGATTTTATGGAAAACAACCTATTTCTAAATACTAATAAAAAAACACAACAAGCTGGAATAAAATGGGTTTCATCTCATGAAAACTGAGGACTTCTTTTTTTATACCTTTATTATTAACATATACACTAGACACAAATATTTTAATTTGTTTGTCTAGTTCTTTTTCCATCCTTCCTAATATCTAATCAGTGATTTTTAATTAAAAAAACAACGTCCTCATCCTGCTGATTTTTAACGTCATTTACTGTGTGAAAAAAAAATCACATCTATTACTTCAGCTTGGCTGACACCTATCCTCTCACACTAGTTTCAGAAGTTATAAATGACTATTTAAAAATTCATCAATCTTGTCACTGATAGTCTTGCATGCTTTTGTATATCATAGAAAGGCCATTTTATAAACTTTAAAAAAAATTCTCATGGAATTCAAAGTGAGTTGATCTGACCTGCGGATGATGTATTTCTTGCGAGGCTGTTTGACCTGAATGACCACAGAGATGATTAGCAGGATGACCACCAGGCTGCAGGTCACTCCAATGATAGTGAGGTTGGTATTATCCAGCGTGTCTAGGATGCTGGCTTTCCTCTTCTCTAGTTTGGAAGACAAAATGAAGAAAAAGGAGTTGATGTTCAGTCAAGTTATCAAATGACAAATGGTGAGATTTAAGTTGAGTACCTTTACAGTGGTTCTCATCCCAGGGGTAAACACAGTTCTGAATGCCATTACAGACCAAGGTTTGGTTGATGCACATGTTGCTATGGCAAAAGAAAGTATCTCCTTCACATGGAGCTGAAAAACAAATGGTAGGAGTTATGGGCATGATGATGATGTCACAGGTACATTTACAAAATAATTGTACCAAAAAATTGACTGTAAATAATTTAATCACATGTAAATTTCCCATAACCACATTAGTGCAAAGTAATGAATTGCATTTACTGCATTTAATGTAATGCTTCAAAATTATGTTGCGATAACTTAATTAAATTAAATAACTTAGTCAAGTTAAATTTAATTGAAGTCATCCAAACTTTCACATAAAGTTAATGTGCTAATTTAATTACCAAATGTAAACTTTAGTTGATCTTTCACATAATCTTTATTTGTTCATTTAAATACACAGGAATCTAGGTTTATCATAAACCGTATCTAATGAAACTAAATTTCATTTTGCACTAAACTCCTTTTTATCAAAATACATAAATGTGTTTTTTTTTTTAATCTTTTTTGATAATCCCCAAAAACGATTTGTTAGCTATCTTAGAAACGTTATTGCCCTATCAAGTCAAAAACGGGCAACACTGACTTCAAAATTTATAACTAATCCCAAACGGAATCTGCAGACTTTTTTCTGGTTTTCTGAAATGATTCAGGAGGAAAATCTGTGGAATTCTGTGGATAGCCGAACAGCTTGCCGAAAGTTGGTGGTGAGGGACAGAGCGGGTCAGTCCGGGTTGGCACAATCACCACCACAAACACATAAGCTTTTAAGGTTTTAAACAATTATCTAGTACAATAATCCTGATTATCTATTACAAATGGCCACCCACTTTGTAGTCTAGTCTGCCTATTTTTGCCTTGTTAAAGGGAAGTTTTTCCTTACAATCCTTGCCAAGAGCTTACTCAAGTGGGATTGTTTGGCCTCTGTTAAGTATAGTGAGTCTGGTCTTAAACCTGCTCTATTTGTAAAGTGCCTTGAGATTACTTTTGTTATGATTTGGCAATATATAAATAAAAGTTGATCTGTTAAAATAATCAAAAGGTTAAAGTTGAAGTCCCACTGACTGTCACACATCTGAGTGTGTGAAAATTGTCCTCAGCATATAACCCATCCCCAGGGAGGAGCAGTGAGCAGCAGTGGTGCCGCACTCTGGAATCATTAGGTGATCTAAAACCCAAGTCCAGCCCTTAGATGCTGAGTGCCAAAAGGTAGGTCCACTGATTTATTTGTGCAAAAATGGTCACAACGTTTCTAGCAATGTTGTGACCTTTTTTTGCGCAAATTGGTGGAGCATAAAAACTGTGTGAGCAGACTTCCCTCTTTTTAATCATAGAAATCTTTTTTTGCCCTGCACCAGCACCTTAACGGATATGCATAGTGCTACTTTAAATAAAATCCATATGAGGGGCCAGGCTGACGTCATGGAACCCCAATGTGAGATTCCAAATGTGGATGTAGTGTAGCTGACTTACTGTAACCTCACTGGAATGACAACAGCATTTTAGCTGACAATATAAATGTAACTGCAGTCTCAGAGACCTCAGATTCAATCACTGCTCAAAACTCCTGCAGATAGAGAACAAGCTTTAAAGGGATTTTCTGGCATAAGTTTAAGTTATGGTCAAACACACAATAACACCGAGTTAGACCCCCTCTTGAGAGATGAATGTTGCTGACCACCTGCTTCTCTAGTTATACTAACTTTAGTAACAACCATACGATAGCAATACACAACAGTCTACCTCTCCACACACAAACCTCAACAAAAAAGCCACTCTATAGCCACAAATAATGCTCAGAACAGCACCTAACTTTATCAACAGTACATATAGGGTCCCTGCCATAGCACTAACCATCAAACATTTTTTTAGCTTTGCCTGGTTTCTTTAGCAAAGAGACTACAAACAACTCACCCACTCTCCTCCAGCAGCCGCTTGTTTTTTGGGGAGTCCTGATAAGTCAATCACCGATTGCAGTGGAGTTTTGCAGCTCAAGGAAGAACATTTATGATAATTTCTTCATGGAAATGCAATTGGACCAACATGCTAAGGCAGAAGAACTACCGCATCCGCAGTTCAAAATGATTATTTGGATGATTATTACTTCAAGGTAATGATCCTGCACTGTGCACTGCTGCACTCGGTAATCGACTCGTCAGGGCTTCCACACAAACAAGCGGCTGCTGGAGGAGAGTGGGTGAGTTGTATTTAGTCTCTAAACGCAACTCAACCACTCTCTGACCTGCGGCCTTTTATTGTGGCCAGTCTAAGGCAACCCTGTACAATAATCATGCTATCTAATCAGCATCTTGATATTTCACACCTGTGAGGTGAATGGATTATCTCAGCAAAGGAGAAGTGTACACTATCACAGATTTAGACAAATTTGTCAACAATATTTGAGAGAAATAGGTCTTCTGTCTACATGGAAAAAGTCTTAGATCTTTGAGTTTAGCTCATAAAAAATAGGACCAAAAACAAAAGTGTTGCGCCTACATTTTTGTTCAGTGTAGAATAACTAAATGACTGTCAAAGCATGTTCTTAGAGATGTTTTGCCACTGTACTCAGCAGATCAATCAGCTTTTGGTGCTAATAAGGTTTTTTGTTTTGTAGAAGTTTGTTTGACAGCAGTAGTAAAACTAAAACATTGAAGTAAAACAGTTCATACAGTTGAGGAAAAGTGCATAAGACAAAGTTGCATTCTGCAAGATTTTTACTCCCAGCAGCTCATCTTATCTATTGATTCAGCAGTAAAGTTAAAGGTAGTATTGCCAAAGACCTCTTTTTTTGTCTGCAGGTGTTTTAGCAGGCCTCATTCTTGCCGTAACGTAACTGACATCAGAGACAACATTTTTTTTTTCTACGGACGTGCCCTTTAAGATTTATCATTAGCGTCAGCCTTTGTTTATTCTTGTATGCCTGTCACAGACAACTTGCAGTAACACAGACTGACTCACGTTCATGGAAGGTTGTGAAGAGAATCCTGAATTTGCTCTTTCTGCTTCCTTCGTCCGCCCAAAGTCTCACCACGCCCACTGAGGATGTCAGCATGACATCATTGGCCACTGTGGAGCAGAACTTATTCTTCAGATGCTCCACTGAACTGCTGCCATCGTAGATGGCCACAAAGTTGCGCTTACACTCATTTGAGTTGTGCATCTCGTATTCCAGGAAACGCATGTAGATCTGAGGATTAAAGGGTAGAATACAAACAAAATTGGTGGTCCAAGCAAACTAAATCTAGACTGCAGTTGCCCCTCATTCAACTACACTAAAACAACTGAAACAATGATGGACATAACTTTAGTGGTACAGGCAGATAGGTTTAACACTTAAACATAATGAACACAGCAAAACCTCAAATCTTGGCAAGTTTTTTTCTTGATTATAGTTAGAAGATTTTATAAGGTCAAATTTAAGCCATCATCACTAAACAAAGATGAGAAAAATGTCTTATTTCAAGATATAATGAGCAAAAAAAAAGACCCAAATTGATTGTGATAAGCAGAAAAACAATCTGCTAAAGGCACAAGTAAAAACTCATTTATTAAGTTGTTGAAATAAGACATTTTCTTATTTCAAGCAACATAAAGAGTAATTTTCTTTGTCATAGGCCCATTAAAGGGATTACGGCCTTATTTGTTGTGATTAATGTCTTAAAACAAGACATTCTTTCTGGACTTGTAAGCTGCAGCAAGTAACTAGTCATAGGTTTAATTTTTGTTTTTAAAGATGCTCCCACATCACGCACTGAAATAAAACTGCAAACATCTAATTGTCTATAAACCCATGTGGACAATGTAGATATGAAGGAGCTCATTCTTCACACATAAAATTACATTAGTTATTTTTTTTCTTGATTTAAAATACAAATGTAGAGCAGATGTCTTTTTGTGTCTTGGTCACTGAACATGGAAACTCTTGCTGTGCTGTCTGGTTCTTTGCTGCCTTTGTGTTGTAACTTCCTGTTTGTGTTGAGTGTCCCCTGTAGACAAAGGGGTTATTCTTCTACTGCTCCTGATTTCATCTCATCCTTGTGTTTATAAATCCTTTTAAGTACTTGCTGTGGAAATAGTGACAATGGCTGTTTCTCCATTGTATTAACCCCTCATACCAATTGCAGGCATTAAAAATGACAATAACGAAAATGTCAAAATTGTTGAAACGAACTCATCGTATAAACTCATCACTACTCATTTCAGCCTGTTTCATCAAAACTCGTTTCCGTACATTTCATTTTAGCCTGAGAGTCTAAACTTCCTATAGAAAAACTTTTCATAACTTGATTAATAAACGAAAGTCACCGCCTCTCTGCTTGCTTGAAGCTAAAACTCTGAACAGAGTCCAGACCAGGTTAGCTTTAAAAGTAAGTTAGCATGGTAATGTAGCCAGGTAACCATTAGCCAATGCAACCAAAACTCTAAAATTAACAGATCTAATAGAAGTCATTTTTGGGTTTCCACAACATCCAGGCTGAATTCAACAATAGCTAATTCGTGACTTAAATGCAAATGCATGCACACCACCAAAAAAGAGAGAGGGTAGTAACAGCTCTGTGTTTACGGACCCTCGCTTTTGGTGGAGCCTTGATGTACCATCTGCAGTCCACAGCCTCGGTTTGCAGAGCTCGGCCCTCTGCTGTTATCTGAGCGGATTCCACAAAGCCCTCTGGACCGCTCAAGTCAAACTCACAATCTATGATAGATGATAATTTTGTTAGACCCATCTTTATTTTGAGACTGTATCATCAAAATGATAATGTAAATTTAGTTACTTATTTGAATTAGCAAATGTGTTTTTTTCGGTCTACTTTTATTATGTAATGATATGATAACCAAAGTTAAGTACTCACATGGCAGAGCTGGCAGTTCCCCAAGGTCTTTGAACTCCGGGTCTAGGAAACAAACAAGCAAAAACAAAAAAGTTCAAAAAGGCTCAACTTTGTAACATTTACTCAGTTTTTAGGCCGTCTACCTGTGACCAAATCACCCTGGGGCTCCATTTTCATGCCCGCCGGTGAGGCGGCGGAGGGTGGCGGACCCCACGCAGTGGTATTTTCATCTGGCGGAGACCGGCATACAACCAGTTTGGTATTTTCATGGACTGAGGCACAGCGAGGTCCGCCAAGCTGGGCGTGGTGGCTTGGCAGAGGGAGGTGTCGACAGAATAAGCTGCCGCAGTGACATTTTCGTGCTCGCCGGTGGCGTATAAAGTACGCTGAAAGCTCACCCGTTTAAACCTGGTCAGCTTTCAGTGCAGGCGAAGCTCAGCTGGTCTAGTGGTATTTTGGTAGACCGGCGGCGTATCGGCATACGTCACCGATGCTTCACCAGCAGGTTTCCAAAGTGTCAGGAACATTTCAGTGCAATAAATAATCATCAACAACTAATAATCTGAGTCAGCACATACATTTAGATCTATGTCGATATATTCTGATCTATATCTGATCTAATGAGCGCGTTTGGCATGCGTTTGGACACACAACCTGATTGAATCAACACAGCTGAAACCGAATTAAATTAAATTAAATATCTAGTAAATAGACACAAATGATGAAGTGAACAAGATATGTAATCCGTCTCCCCCATTTTCTTTCTTCCTCTTCTATTTCAGCTCGACCTGGACATGTCTCCGTGTCCTCTCCCCGTCCTGCTGCAGCTGCTGCTGTGGCGGCTGAACAGATGATTTGTTTCAGTGATCAGATGAGTTATTTACTTTAAGCCTACATACGAATATTATAATATTCAGTTTTGTGAGCCAAATTTATTTTATATGCCAACATCTATGAAAGAAAGAGCCAGGCCACGGAGCGTGATGCGTCATTTACGCACAGATGGTTTCTATTTTAATGCCATTATTGGGATTTATGATGTGATCTGTGCGCACAACCCACCTTTGTCATGTGAGGTTTGAATATATGCAACTTTATGTGAGTGTCTTTATTTGTGGAGAGGGTGTTTGTCTTACTAGTGGGTCCAACATCTCTTTGACTACTTTACGAAAATTGTAATACGCCTCGCCGGTGGCGGATTTAAAGGCGAGGAGAGGAGCTGATGTTTATGGTCAATACAGGTCTCGGCTGTGTTAAATCCACTCTACGTCCTCTCTCCCCCCTCGCTACGACTTATGCCGCTGGTAGGAGCTGAGTTAGGGAGGGGGGATACTTACGCCGGGCTGCACCGCTCACCAAAATAACAAATTGTGCTTGGGAACGCCTTGTTGGCGCAGTGGACTTAAGCCACGCCTGCGGCACGTCTCCAGCGAGGCACGAAAAAAGAGCCCCAGGTGTCAAGGCTAAATGTAGACAAGATCTTTATCAGAGATCATCAAGCGAATATTTTGATTCACCTCTTACAATGGGAGGAGAAGGAGGCTTGCTGTCCATATTGACACAGCCTACTGTATAAACACTGTATACTCTGCCTTTTTACGAATTCTGATTTTTCTCCACAATCTGTCAGTGCAACCTCTGTTGAAATAGATGTGCTTTAAACTCACATGAGAAAACACACTGGTAACAAATGCAGACTTTGTAGGAATGATTGCAAAACTGCATGTTTTGACTGTGAGCATTCATTTCAAGGAAAAGGTTGGAGGCCAAAGCTATTAAAAACCAAAAATACCAGAAACTTTGCATTGAAAATGAAAATATTAGAAAAAAAATAAAACAACTGGAAAACAAAATGAAAAACACAGCTGTCCTGGATTTCTATAATCTCTCTGGCACAATAGTCCCTCTGGCCTCATCTAAACCCCTTGATGCCCTTCATCAATGAGAGACAACACAGATTTCAGAAACTATGCTCAGAACCTTTACGCTGACGGATCTACTTGTGAGGTGGATTATGAATCCTGATACACCGGCTTAGGGCAGATTAGGGCCCAACAAACAGTGACAACCCAATGACAAAAATGTCACTTTTTCTTTTTTTCCAAATCCCCTTAAAGTTTGATTGGGTCTCAAAGAAATCCACACTTTCCAAAAACTCTATAAAATGCTGAATAATGCATTATGTAACAACACAACCAAGTACACAAAAAGTGTGTTTGAAGTAGAGCAGAGAATGGGAAAAGGTGGAATTTGAGTTCAGTTCAGACAAAAACATCAATAGTGACACTATCACAGGTGAAACTGTGAACTAGTCATAGTGATACAAGACAAGTCAGTGACAGACCACATGGAGGCTCAAATCCACAAGGACTCTTTTTAATCCTGCCATGTGACTTATCAGGCTCCTGCTTCAGGCTTATTCAAATTATTCATTCATTCCTATGTACACATGCACATGTATGTGTGTGTGTGTGTGTGTGTGTGTGTGTGTGTGTGTGTGTGTGTGTGTGTGTGTGTGTGTGTGTGTGTGTGTGTGTGCGTGTGTGCGTGTCCCTAATATGAAGAAAAACGTAAAGATGAGCTTCTGGGCAGGTTATAGGATATAGGATGGTTTATGTAAATCCTTTCCTAATGTTATTCTGTTTGAGGATACATACTACACACGAGTAGGCTGAAAATGAATAGACATATATTTACATTACTGATGTGGAATCAAAAGACATGCTGCTATGTTTGACCACTGGATGTTTGAATGGTAACCTCAATCTACCTGATAAACAAAACCCAATTTCAATGAAGTTGGGATGTTGTGTAAAATGCAAATAAAAACAATCACTCATTTTGAATTTGATGGCTGCAACACATTCTTAAAAAGCTGGTTCAGGGTCATGCTTACTCCTGTGTTACGTCACCTTTCATTTGAACAACACTCAGTAAGTGTTTGGGAACTGAGGACACTGGTTGTTGAAGCTTTGGAGGTGAATTCTTTTGTGATTCATGTGCTGCACTTGTTCAATGGAAGAAAGGTCTGGACTATAGGCAAGCTAGTCTAGTACCTGTACTTTTTCACTATGAAGCCCTGTAGTTGTAACACATGCAGAATGTGTCTGGTTGTTGTCCTGTTGAAATAAAAAGACGTCCCTGAGAAAGACTTGGCTTGGATAGCAGCATATGTTGCTCTTAAACCAAATGCACCTTTAACGTGCATTGACTGTTGCAAGATATGAGTGAAATTACAATATATTGTTTGGATGCAAATGTGCATGTGTCCGGTGTTATTCTCACTTCACCGGTAATGAGTGGAATTAAAGGGGAGATTAGCATTTGGCATTGGAGACTCATTACATGTGATGTAAACAGACAGAGATCCTGATCTGCCAATAATGATGAGGGAGAGTTCACGCTGTTTACCAAAGCAAGGTGCTTGCATAAGTGTCTCACTTTTTGAAAATATGTAAGCCTTAAATGCCTTAACACTGGAAGATAGAGCGACTATCCATACTTAATGAAATATCACAAAAATTGTGTCCAGTAATTTCATAAAGTAGCACTGAACATGCACAGACAAACAACCTCTGCCTCACAGCAACTTCAAACTTGTTTGTGTGTGAGGAAGTCTCAAGACTGCTTGAAAGTGGAACATCCTTCCCAGAACAAAACAATAGAGGCAAGATCATGTTAAGAAAGGAAGAAAGAAGGGCGATAGCAGCAGGGCTGGATGGACAGAAGGATGCAGATTAATCTCTGCCCCCCGTCAGTGTAGGTGGCCTATAAAATCTGCTGTTAATAAAGCCTCTGCCTTGGACTCCCTTAAGCTGCTGCTGCGGCTCAGTGCTGACATGCTGTATTCCCCTGAAGACAAGCTTTCATTAACTTGTGTGCCTCCAACCCCCCACACTTACCTTGTTGGCTGCAGCTGGTTTTCCTGCTCTGCAAATGGAAATAAGGGTACATATCCCGGCAGCACACCACTCGACCACTATTAAAGTTTTAATAAAAAACTTTTTGTTATCTCTTGCTCTTTTAAAACACAGTCTGGGGTTTCTCTGTGGTAATCATGGTGGCACTGCTAATAAAAGTTTCCAACATGAGTCCAAGGTGAGATACAATTTGTTGTACGATCATGCAAAATGAAGTCACTGTGAAAAAAGAGGTGGCTGGTGTCATGACAGCTGGCATATCAAACTCAGTGCAAGCTGGCGGATCAGGAGACAGTGCCAAAGAAAGGAACCAGAGGCTTAGAGTAGTAGTAATACGCTGAGCATAAACCTGACCAGACAGAGCGGCAGCTGGTCTGATATAAGACGGAAAGTGGGCTGAATAGCTGAGTCAACAAAACATCAGACATTTACACAAGTTTTTTGTTTCCTAATAGTCAGTCTGCTGCTTTGAAAGATCAAACAGTATGAAAGTTTAACCATGAAACAGCACAAATCTTGATGCTTCCTTAGCCATATCCAAACTTTTATTTCACCAGGATCACAAGACTAAACAACGCTGCACCATCTGTCATGTCTTGTTTCTTATGTCCTTTATGGTGAGTGAAGCCCAACCTCCCTGTCCTCCCTAACGCCAAAGCCTGTGCACTGCCTCTCCCCTCAAACAGCTCTCACTTTCATTTCATCCTCAAGGGCTCAGATCAGTATGAGAAAAAGTTTCTAAAGCAGGGCAGTTGTTGATTTCATTATGGAGAACTATCAGGCTGCCACATGTGGAGAAAGGAGAGCAGGGAGAGGAGCAGAAAGAGGCAAGTGTGTGTCTAAGAGGCCAAGGGACAGCATGAAAACAATGACAGACGAGCTGCAGCGATCACAAGCATGAACAGGCATTAATAAGTGTAGAACTGATGCACGGTCCCTTTCAATACTTAAACTTTCGGATTGCTAAATCTATAAAATCTAGTTGTAAAGTCCGGCAGGATTTGGTAAACCAAAAGACTAACTCTTTTTTTTCCACTAAATAATGTTCAATTTATTTATTCATTTTTTTGTTGTTATTGAGATACTTTAGGGTTTTAAAGTTCTGTGAATGCTTGTAATGCAGACTTCAATTTCAGATCATTGGTGTTTAACAATCATGATCTCAATATCAGTAAAAATAATAATAAGCCATGATCTAGTGATCAAGTGGCTCCATGAGAAACAAACAACCCATATCAGGTGTGCAGCAGTGATCTGGCTGGCATCATATTCTTTCTCAGAACCAAAACTTGAGCAGCCTGCTCTGCTACACTTGCTCTCTACAGATGTGTTTAACATTAGGGTGCTAAGTCCACATTAAACAAGTCATAACCAATTAATTGGTTGGTAAATTAGCATTTTGACCAGAATATAATGCTGAGTTCCAGTTGTACTCAGATCAGAATTTCCGAGCTCCAAGTCAGAAATTAATCTGAAACGCCCCCCTGAAGTCGGATTTCTGACTCAGAAAGTCGGACGTTCCTCACCAACCCCAATTTGACGACACCATCATAATCCAAGATGGCAGCACAGTGCATCAACAGTAAAGAGTAACAGTGAAAGCTCCCGTAATGTATTATTTATCAGCACTCCTGTTTTGTTTTTGTGAAATGAAATAAGTGCTATATGTTGTACTGCCCAACAACTAACTGTGAACACGGTGCTATGGTGTTTAAAAGAGTAAAATACTGTGTTATGCATTGTTTACATCTGGTATAGCTAAAAACAACTGACAACCGCTAACGACAGCTGACAATTGTAAACAACAGCTAACAATGTCAAACTGTAGGCATCCATCTTGGTTTTCCGACTTCAACACCGCCAACTTAGATGCAACATAATTTCCCAGCTCCGACATCCGACTTCCGAGGTAACTGGAACGCAGCATAAGACAAGACGTCGCTGATAAGAGTACCCCCCTCCCTCCCCAAGGAAAACAATTTTTGAAGACAAAATCACATTTCTATGACAAAATGGACATATTAACTAAGACAACTTTTGTCTAGCATAGTCAGCTAACAACACCATGACACTACCTTCACTTGAGTCATAAATGATCACCAATTACCTTGTGTTTCTATAAATATTGGATGCAGATGGTCTCTAAAAATGTACTGATCTTCTCTGTGGGATAGATAAGCCTCTAGGTGTCAAAAAAACACACAAGGTTTATCCCCTGTAAACTGCTGGTCTCACAAAGCGAGTGAATTTTGCAGTAAGCCATTACATCGTACTGTTCTATTTATAGAGCTGCTATCATAAAGACAATTTTTTACTTGTATTTTGTTGAAAGTTTTACTAAATTTTGTTTTTGTGTTTGGGCTCCCCATGTAGTCATAAGGTGTATTAAGTAGAGCATAACGACCAAACTAACCAGAATATTGTTGCAGAAAATAAGATTTTGCTCCATGTGGCCAAACAATGAAAAGCTCTTTTCTTTATTTGGGTTTTCAACATATTTTCTCCTCACTTTTTAGTTTGCCCCCTTTGATCAGTGCAGTTATTTAGCTAAGTTTGTGGTCACTCACCTTGTGTGAAGTTGTACCGTGCAGAGAAACCAATGGCCTCCAGCTCACCATCAGCAACAAACTTGATGTACAGGTACCGCCCACTGGATCGGACATACGCTGGACTCTCCTGTCCACAGTACCGACCAATGATGGGGGAGAAACCAAAGGGCCCATCTCGGACTTCAATGTGGTCAAACTTGCACTCCCAGGATGGTTCTATGGAGTACTTCTCATTGAAGAATAAGTCGATGCACTGCCGAGGAGAGGCTGAGGAGGATGGAGAGAGATGATGAGATTGGAGAAACGAAGAGGAAGTAAAAGTCTCAAGAAAAAGGTATGAAAGCCTCACCTTCTATGATGTAAACACACTCCCTCTCAGGTGGGTACTTCTGGGGGTAGTTGGGTGAGGTGAAATACCCTCCATCAGGCTCCTTTATCCAGGCTCCACACTGCCCTGCTGGTGTCACTCCTGAGTTGTTTTTCACTAGAGACAGATAAAAACACATCAGCGGATTCAAAGTGATAAACCTGACAAAGGTTAAGTGTTGTGTCATTTCCTCATGTACCATTAATCGTCCTGTCATTTCATCTGAAGTGCAGATTTGTGTTGTGGTTTGACTTTCAATCCATACAGACATCTTTTTAGGGCATTATGGTGAAGTTTTATAACCTTTTTTTCCCCACAAAGTCAATTTACCACCTTTTTTAATCCCAAACAGAATATGAAGCTTAGCCATTTTACAATTTGACACATGAAAATTGAAAGAAGAAAAATATATCATCCAGTGTATATCTGATTATCATGTGACTTTTTTTCTCTGCTCTTCATGTTAAACATTTGCTTTTAGCAATAATAAATAATTCTGTATAGCAAGAGCGACACCAAAAGCAACCAAATCATGGATGTGTCATATGCAAAATCAATCAGAGGACAGTTCACAGCACGCTTGTATATTCAATGTTTTTACTGGTTCCTGTTCACAATGTGGCAAAAACGTTAGCTTTAGGGTAGGAAACTTTACATTCATAGCTGACCAGCCAATGGCAGAGAAAAGAAGACGTGAAACATCAAGAAAATAAAGGAATATAACTTCAAACACATAAAATTGAGGAAAACAGACAAAGAAATCATGACACATTTGCATCTGGCTCTTGTCTCTCCCTGTTGGGATTCTATTATGCAAATAACCTGCTAACCACACACGATCTCTTGATCTCCTTTTTTTTTTGCTCTTGCTGAGCTTTTGTGTTTAAACATCCAGTGCAATTTTTCCTTTAGATCGTCATCATTGAAAATTGATAGGCATATTAGAAATATTGGTAACAATATTACGCTTATCTCTATAACACATTCTAAATATATTTATAATGCATTATAATCATGTTTTGATTATTGTTTCATCACTTTACTTGAAGCACCCAATGAGCATTTAGAGTAAGTTATAATCACATTATATTGCATTATACAATTATAAGGCATTATAAGAGTTTTAATATATGACAACTATATAATTATAATACTCTTTGATCCTTGCAACAAAAATCAGCTAGCAAGGGACAAGCCATCATTAAGTATTATAATGCTTGATCTTATAAGCCATTATAAAATACTCTATAATGTGTTATGCTTATTGTTATAAAGCCTTATGATAATTAATGAGTGTTTATAATGATAGTTATACAAGTTTATAAGCACATTATAACACACCATAAATATATGTATGATACATTATGGGTATTTTCAGTGAGTTGTTAACAGTTATAACACATTAATACCTGACCTTATAAATCATGATAAAATGCTTTATAATGTGTTAATAACGATAGTTGTACAGTGCTATAACGTGATTATAACGGATTATACATATACTTATAATATGTTATAGAAATAGACGTCAAATAAAGTGTTATCGAAATATTAAGAGATTACATTCCTGTAATATTTTACAGCCACAGTAATGGTGAGATGACAATTTGATTTTGTGACAACCGTAGCTCCAGGTAACATCTTGCATCAGCAGCTTTTTCTCACCAACAAGTAGAAAAAATTAGTGAATTGAGCAAATAAATGAAATGAAATGATGTATTTATTAAAATTTTCATATCTTTGCTTTGTTGGTTTACAAAGAAAACAGATGCATGGTCATTAATGAGGGATAGATGAATGGTGACTGAGGATGTGATACCTTGAGTTTTGGTTTTGGTGTTGGAGGCTCCTGACAGCACAGATGAGATGAGGCTCGCTGCTAGAGCTGAAAGAAGGGAAGAGATCCTTTTTTTTTTTTTACATCAAAGTTTAAAATCTCAAAATTCTTTTTAAACAGTCATTAGTGACAAACTGTTGATAATACAGAGAAAAAAGCAACAAAATACTATTGTGATATATGTTGTATCAAAGGGGAGAGACAGTATGTGCGGCAGGATTACACTGGTATGAAATAATGATTTTAAGTCATCAGGCAGACTGGATTATGAAACATGTTTCAAGATGTAAACTTACCGATAGGCAGCAGAAGTTTGTGAACCATTTCTGATCCCCAAGGACAGGCAGCTCCGTCGCAAATATTGCCATTAAATTTTCCTGACCCAGCGTCCTGTCAGTGTGGGAAAAAAAGATTTTTGTCCTGTCAGCCTCTCACAAATCCAGGAGCAAAGACTTCCACGTTCCATCCGTCTTTCTCTCTGTCTCCCCATGAGCTCAGAGGATTACACTCCCACAAACCTTCACAATTTTCGCTCCACCTTTAGGCTGCATTAATCCTCTCAGAAGATACACAGTCATTGACGGTTTAAAGTGGGCCGAGGCATCTTACTGTTGCCCTGTTTGTTTGTGTGTGTTTCTGAGTGTGTGTGCATGTGTGTGACTATGTCTCTGTGAGCATCATTTAAGATAAGAATCATGACAGGGACATTTTCACTGATTGTGGTGACAAACTGCTCTAAAACTATAGGAGGAACTAGACATTATTCAATCTCTGTCAGGCAAACAGTATAATTATTAAATCTGTAATGCTATAACTTCTAGTTTTAAATGGGTTGATGACATGACAATCTAATGGTATCATCCCTTTCGTAGTTGGTAAAATAGATTAAAACGGTAAACTAACAATTTAAGATCTGTCACATTATATTCATTTCAAACAGCCACACTCTTTCATTTCTAACAGCCCCACTCTTGCTAAACACCAAAAATAGTTACCTCATTTTGCTTTATTTAATTCATCTGAATTTTATACATGTCTATTTTATTTTATTTCTTTTCAATCTTGGTATTATAAAGTTTTTTTTATTATTATTCATAGTTCTCCTTTATCTGTTCATCTAATTTTCTGGCTCTCAATTTATATACTCACTTCTTTTATCACTGTGTAGATTTATATTTATTGGTGAACTATACTTTTCAATAGCCTTTGTTGTTTACCTTCTCATTTGCCTCCTAAGGGTGAGGGTGGGTGTGGAGAGAGGGGTATATGTCATGACCTTTATTGTTTATCAAAATGTTCTGTACATGGAAATATCAATAAATAAAATTAAGATAGTAAGATTTGTCACATTTTGGAGCCAAACCTCCTATGTTGGGACTGTAACCAGCAAAATTCAATAGATAACTATTAAAAATCCATTAAAAATTCAAAAATAAACTTATGAACACCTTTGGCTAATTTTACAAGAGCCTGTTTTAGGAAATGATCATCGGTTTTAGCACACATACATCTTTGACACTATGGTAATGCAGTGCAATTTGTTATCTAAAACCATTAACCTTGTTAATGATAGTTCAGTTAAGATGAAGTGGACTGTACGCAAAACAGCACCTAAAAATAAAACAACAAAAAAAAACCAGAAACTGTTCATAAGTAATCTTGCAACACAGCATGACTCAAATATCATAATTTGAGATAGAGCAAAAATTGGTAAAGTGGGGCAATTTATGGCATTTTGAGATAAAAGACAGTAGTCCTTAAACAGACGAAGTTTCCTTTGTCTTCTATAAAAAAAAAACACACACACACAATTTCCTATCATTAATGACATTAATGACTGCGTACCAAACCTATAAGTTATTAATATTGTTAACTATTGTCTTCAGACAGGGGTCTTTCCCACTGCCTTTAAGACAGCCTGTGTCAGACCCCTTCTGAAGAGAAAAAACTTGGATTCAGCGGTACCTGATAATTACAGACCTGTGTCCAACCTGCCATTTTTAAGCAAAATTTTAGAAAAGATTGTTTTTAACCAGTTAAATGATTTTATGATTCCTAAAAATATTGGTGACATATTTCAGTCTGGTTTTAGGAAAAATCCCAGTACAGAGACGGCACTGGTCAAGATTGTAAGTGACTTCAGGACTACATGGATGAAAGATTAATTTCTGTTTTAGTCCTGTTGGACCTGAGTGCAGCTTTTGATACGGTGGATCATACAATTCTTTTAAACAGACTCCAAAACTACATTGGCATCTCTGGTATTGTTTTTAACTGGTTTAAAACATATCTGAATGGCAGGAAATTCTAAATGAGCACTGGGGAAAGCTTATCAAGAACCTACGAAATGGAGTGTGGTGTTCCCCAGGGCTCAATTTAAGGCCCCACACTTTTTAATCTATATATGTTACCATTAGGAGATGTCATCAGGAGACACGGCATTAACTTTTACAGCTATGCTGATGATACACAGCTCTACCTGGCCATGTCTCCTGATGACACAGGGCCCATTGATGCCCTTTTTAAAGGTATTTTAGATGTCCAGTCCTGGATGGCAGACAACTTCTTGCAGCTCAACCAGGACAAAACCCAGGTTTTAGTCATCGGTACAGGTCCAGAGAGAGAGAAACTGGAGAACAAACTCTGAGGACTGTCTTTTAATCCCTCAAAACAAGTTAAAAATCTGGGTGTTATTTTTTATTTTAATCTCAGCTTTGCGTCACACATACGTGATATCACGTGATATAAGGCTTTTATCACCTTAAGAACATCTCTGGAGTCTGCCAGTTTCTCTCTCAAGCCAATGCGGAGACTCTTATCCATGCTTTTATTACCTGCAGAATTGATTATTGTAATGCTCTCCTCTCTGGTCTTCCTAAAAAGAACATTTCACAGCTTCAGCTGCTGCAAAATTCGGCTGCACGTATGCTGATGAAGACCAGTAGCAGAGCCCACATTACACCAATTTTAAAGTCTCTGCATTGGCTTCCTGTGTCTTTTAGAATAGATTTTAAGGTTCTTTTATTAGTTTAGAAATCTCTTAATGGTCCAGGTCCTTCTTATTTATCTGATTTGCTTTTAAAATATTAGCCCAGTAGAGCCCTCAGGTCTTCAGGTGGTGGTCTTTTAATAGTCCCCAAAGTTAGAACCAAAACATACAATGAGGCATCGTTTTATTATTATGGCCCCCGTCTGTGGAACAGTCTGCCTGAAGACCTGAGAGCAACACCTACAGTTCATATTTTTAAACCCAAACTCAAGACCTTCCTTTTTAGTCTGGCCTTAAGCTGATTTTTGTTTTATTCTTCTAGCCTCTCTTTTAGTCTACTATTTTTAGTACTTTTAGTATATTTTATTTTTATTTGTTTATTTTCTTTTATTTTCTTTTATTGTTTGATTTTGTATTATTATTATTATTATTATTATTATTATTTAATCTCCTTTTATTTTTTATATCTTGTCATGGTTTTATCAGTTTAGCTTCAGCTCCAGTTTTTCCCCATTTGAGTTTAAGATAGCGTTTCCTTGGTGCTCTGTGGCTTCCTGTTGAGCCCTGACTTGGTGTCCCGATGGTCGTGAGAGTGTGCGTAGGTGTGTGTGTGTGTGTGTGTGTGTGTGTGTGTGCGTGCGTGTGTGTCTGTGTGTGTGGATGGATGGGTGGGTGGGGGGGATCTCTGTTAAATTCGGGCTTGGAGGGTGGTTGAGTGGGGTTTTTGCAGTTTGTGTTTTATTTTGTTTTTATTTTGTATCCCCTGTGTTCAGCACTTTGTGCTACAAGCCATGTATAAAAAGTGCTTTATAAATAAAGTGGTTGATTGATTGATTGATTGATTGATTGATTGATTAATTGATTGATAAGGCTAGAAATTAAAGTTCCTGGGGCTCTATTTTCATGTCCGCTGGTGAGGCGGCGGAGGGTGGCGGACCCCTCGCAGTGGTATTTTCGTCTGGCGGAGCCCGGTGTACAGCCAGTTTGGTATTTTCATGGACTGAGGCACACTGAGGTCCGCCAAGCTGGGCATGGTGGCGAGGCAGAGGGAGGTGTCGACAGAATCAGCTGCCGCAGTGAGATTTTTGGCTTGCCGGTGGCGTATAAAGTGCACTGAAAGCTTGCTGATTCAAACCTGGTCAGCTTTCAGCGCAGGCAGAGTGCAGCTGGTCTAGTGGTATTTTGGTAGACTGGCGGCGTATCAGCATATGTCACCGATGCCTCACCGGCAGGTTTCCACAGTGTCAGGCACATTCCAGTGCAATAAATAATCAACAACAACTAATAATCTGAGTCAGCACATACATTTAGATCTATATAGATATATTCTGATCTATAGCTGATCTGGTGAGCTCGTTTGGCACGCGTTTAGACACACAACCTGACCAAATCATTAAATTAAATTAAATATCTAGTAAATAGACACACATGATGAAGTTAACAAGATATGTAATGTAATGTAATGTAATCCATCTCCCTCCTTTTCTTTCTTCCTCTTCTTCTTATTTCTCGTGCAGCTTGACCTGGACATGTCTCAGTGTCCTCTCCCCGTCCTGCTGCAGCTGCTGCTGCTGCGGCAGCTGAACAGATGATTTGTTTCAGTGATCAGATGATTTATTTACTTTAAGCCTACATACGAATTTTATAATATTCCGTTTTGTGAGCCAAATTTATTTTATATGCCAACATCTATGAAAGAAAGAGCCAGGCCACGGAACGTGATGTGTCCTTTACGCACAGATGGTTCCGAATCTCTGCGCACAACCCACCTTTGTCACTTGAGGTTTGAATATGTGCAACTTTATGTGTGTCTTTATTTGTGGAAAAGGGTGTTTGTCTTACTAGTGGGTCAAACATTACACACACCAAATCCATCTTTGCTCATATGAGAGAGTGTGGAGGATGCCCTCTGTTTACAGCAACACTTGTTGAGGGGCTGCCTTCTGTCGCCATTGTGTGGCATTGCTGTCTTCAGACAGAAGCATGAAAATAGAGCCCCCAATGTTAATTCTAATCCCTTTTAAACATGTGACAACAATTAAATGTATATTTTTGCTTGGTACCTTCTTCGTCCTCAGAGATCAGGAGGAGCTCAGGTGTTGGAAAGAGTGAGACAAAGGTTAGTCAGAGAGATGATCTTTGAAGAACAAATACTGTTGATATTTTATCAGACTTAAAAACTCATACTTACTTTCTTCCACTGGAGGCAAACACAGCAGCTCAGGTACAAGAGAGAACAAGAGGAAATGGTTTGTTAGACTGACAAATACTCTTTGAAAGATCATGGCATCTATAATATGCTAATACCTCTTGTAAATACTGATAGAATGTATTTTTGCTGCAGCAACAAGAGCCTTTTATTGTTTTCTACATAATCAGCTGCTGCTAACAGCACTCATCAGTGTTTTTAAACCAGAATTAAAAAAAGAGTTCCTGGTTTTTAACAACCAGCATCACTCCTCTGCGCTTTTGTTCAACCAAATTTGAGAGTCAACAGTACTAGCTTAGTAGATTTTGAAAACTGTTTTTAAAGATTTCTTTCTAACCCAGGTAAATTAACTCAGACTGACCTTCTTCATTTTCAGGGACCGTGAGGAGCTCAGGAGACCATGTAAGACAAAAGTGAGATAAGACAAATATCGGTTAGTGAGAAAGTCTTTAAATTATTATTCAAAAAAAGATTTGAAACAGATTTAGAAGCTTATACCTACTTTCTTCAGCCTCAGTGTCCTAGAGAAGTAAAAAAAAGATTGGTTCGTGAAAAAGTCTTCAAACTATTTTTCAATAAATAAAATCAATATTTAGTGCTATTTTATCTGATTCAAAAGCTCATACTTACTTTTATGGTGTGTGTAGAGGCAGACAGCCGCTCAGGTGGGAGAGAGAAAATGATATTTAAGTGTAAGTAAAACTGTCAAACACTCTTTGAATTATAATGACAACAATATAGACAGGTTTCTTTGCAACGTCATTGCAGGTTTGCATGCAGCCTTGGGGCAGAAAGCGGGACATTCCTTATTTGTTTACTAGCAGAGTCAAGGGAGAAAGAAAATGACAAGGAGCTGTTGTGCTGTAAACTGCACGAATCGGCAAAAAAAACAATTGGCAAACATTATGACCTTGCTCCTGATATAAGAAACATCTAAAACAATGTCACAACCTGGTAAATTGAGGTAAATATATGGATATAAGATATAAGATATAAGTATTTTTCTGATTTTGATGCAATGAAAGACTATGACGGAGCATTAGGGCCACATTAAGAAAAGAAAAAAAAAAAAGATTTGGACGGAGCGTCATCATTGCGAGTCTTCGCTAAACCAGAAACCTATGCGTACAACGCTACTGCGCAGCACTGGTTTCAGGAAGTGGAGAAAAACCTGGAATTACTGTGAGCTTTTTGGCTTCAAATCCGTATATAGGCGGAAGGCAGAACCAAGTTGTCCATAGTATATACAGTCTATGGCTGGGAAACATCATCAGTGATGTTGTATCCTGGGATCATTAGGGGTTTCGGGTGTTTCAACATCAGACCCCCTCAGCCCAGGTGGGGTGATAAATCCCTGGCCTGTGTCCCAGCAGTGTTTTCCCGTGGATCTGCCCTCTTCATCCACAGCCATCTTGTGGCTTTCTCTGCGGCTTCAGTTGCGGATCTGATAGCCTTCCGCTTCGCCTCCCCAACAAGTCCCAGCTGTCTAAACACTCTGCAGAGTGAACACCCTACGAATCCCCTGCAGCCCACCTCCAGAGGCTCACAGATCGTTTTCCACCCTTGTCTCCTGCACTCTTCCACCAGCTCCTGGTACTTGGCACGCTTCTGCTTATTGGCCTCAACCATGTGTTCCTCCCATGGCACAGAGAGCTCCAGAATGATTAGGTGCTTGGTGGAATTCGAGACAATGATCATGTCTGGGCGAAGCCTGGTTGATGTAATCCTGGGAGGGAACTTTTGTCTGTCCAGGTCCACTTCCAGTTTCAAGTCGTTGATGGATCGAGGAGGCCGGACTTTGTCTGTGGTGGTATGATGGGCTTCTTTCCAGCTCTGCTGACCATGATGGTCTTTGTTCTGTGGTGGCCTTTGCTGGTGTTGATGGCAGTGGCGATGCTGTCAGCAACTGCCCTGAGCACCTGGTCGTGACATCAGCAATAGCGCTCATCTCCAAGGGCTTTGGGGCAGCTGCTGAGTAGGTGCTCCAGGGAGCCCCGACCTGAGCAGCAGGGACAGGATGGTGTTTCTGTTTTACCCCAGACATGGAGGTTCGCTGGGCTTGGAAGGATCACATAAACAGCTTAGACTAAAAACCTGATGTGATGGAAGTCTGCTTTCCAGATGTTGGACCAGGTGATTTTTCGTTGCAGAATATTCTCCCGTTTAGTCCACGCTCCTTGCTGTCCCATTCCCACCATCCTGCTAGTTCGTACTTCCTCCACGCCTGCCTGCACTTCCTCCTGGATCAGATGTTGGCGCTCCTTGCCCTGGGCATTGTCAACCCTGGTTGATGGAATGTAGCAAATGCCTGCACGCCCTGTGGCTACAGACCCCACCAGTGCCTCCTGCCTCAGCCGAGACTCGGCCACATCCAAGGCTCCACTTCCTGCCTGTTCACACCTGAATACCAGCTGATGCCACCTTTGGATCTCTGGATTCCCTGTACTGCAGTGCTTCCCGTGTTCAGGACACCATGAGGGTCATTCCATGTCAATTCAACCAAGAGTCACCACTTACGTCACAGATTTTGATGACATTTGGTGGAGTGATTGGCCTTCAGGAGGCCTCAAATATTTTTGTTCAACGCCATCTAGTTAGTGAGATAGGGGCTAATGAATTTTTGGCTAGTTAGCATGACATGCGTTACAAAAGTGTTCATATCTCTGGAAGTATGGCACCTAGAGAGCTGATTCGGATGTCATTTTAAAGCTCTCTTCAGGTTCTATCTTTTTGTTTGTACGATTTTTTCCAAAATTGGACCAGAAAAAAAGTTATAAAAGACCAAAAACTAAAATTGGAAATAGCAAAAAATGCGCGTCCTTCAATTTTCTTTATATTTACACTAAAGAAAGACTATCATATCCACTAGCATCCCTGCAAGTTTCAGGATGGGCATTCCATAACTTTTTGAGTAATCAGTCAAAATGTGTGGTACATTAGGTGGACAATCGCCATATTGGGCACATTATACAGTCCTGACCTCATCTGGAGTTAGCCCCACTTGCCTGCTTGTGTAAAATATTACTTCCTCATAGTGCAAAATGCTTTTTTTGAGTATTTTCATTTGTATGTTATCCCATATTTATATGAAAAATGGCTAGAATAGCTTATTTTTGCACAGTTTTCCATCGCATTTCATTTCTATTTGCACCTATATCCAGAATATGAATTATCTTAGCTTTATGGGAGAATCATTTGGACATACCTGCATGTCCTGGATCCTAGGGTTGACAAATAACTGCTACCTATGCACCCTGAAATTTTGTTGCTGGTTTCCCTGTGAAGTATTCCAGGCTATTTATCCTGAGCCCTTTCAACGTTTCCTTTATACTTCAAAAGTACTTTTAGCATGGTGATCAAGCTTTGTGCAGCTTTTCAATATTGTTAGTTTGTTTCCAAATAGGAAAGAATGTATGAACTACAAAGAGTTTGATAGCGTCAGTGTAAGGAACGATGGTTCCCAAGTTGTCTAGGTCTTCTGGCTTTCAGTACATGCAAATCTTTGAGAAACAGCATATCAGGAGAGCTACAGTAATTAGCAACCATTTCAAAATATACTAGAAAAATTTGGGCAAGAGGAGAGCAAAGGAGCCATGTAAGGACTGTAAAATAATTTCTCTTGAGTATGGTATCATCCAAACCTTGCTTGTGGGAATCCAGATATTATGATTCACTCTTGGTCAATTTCCTTGATACAGTAATATGGTAGATGAAGTGCCAACTCATTCTTGTAGCTTACCCGACTTGCCTCTGCTCGAAAGTGCATCAAGAAATTCAGACTCAGGGCAACAGAGCACAATTATTCACTACTCACTGGTTGAATTGACATGGAATGACCCATGAACTCTTCAGTGAGGCCACTGATTGGGCCACGGAACTTATTTAAAAGCTTTTTCTTACTTTTTTTGACCTCGGTGTCCCAAGACACAAAAAAAAACTGGTTAGTAGTAAAGTCTTTTACATATTTTACAATAAATAATATTGATATTCAGTGATATTTGATCTGATTCGAACACTTGTACTTAACTTTCTTCGTCCATGTTGCATGAAAGTGAGGAGCTATCTGAAGCTGTCCTCTTGATCTAGGTTTCTGTCCTCTGTCTCCTGTTTTCTTCTGTCTTGTCGATCAGCCAGGCCTGCCAGACATGAGTCCTGTCTGAGGCGTCACCAGTCCAGCCAGATGCAAAAACCGGCCCTCAGGGTTCAAGAAAGTATATCCAACCGTTGTGCCTGTAAAAGTTAAAAAAAAAAAAAAAAAAAAGTGATCTTGGCCAGCCAGACGCAAAGGCAAGATTATAAAAGGTCCATAATCCCATAAATTTAAAGAAATAAAGGTCCATGTGCCAGACGCTACCTGCGACACTGAAAGCCCTGCTAGACGCAAAGGCTTCTTGTGGTAAGCTTGCCCAGCCAAACGCAAAGGCAAGACTCCAAAAAGGGTCCATTATCCCTGATAAATAAAGAAATAGGATCGTATGCCTCGAGACGGTGCTGGAAAGCTCGCAGATGTGTTACTGAGCTTTGTAATTACACACATCAACTTATGCAATATTTCCAGAAATGATATGCAAAGTGAAATATTCTTGATGAAGATATAACAGCCTTGACCATCTCAATAATTGATAAAAATATTGATTTTAATGCATAATTATTTTTGGCACATGAGGGATTCAAACTCCTCCTTCTCCTCTTTTGTTTCCCCTTTTCAAATTGCGTTGTCCCTCTCTGTCTGGCAGGTATTTCTCCCCTGAATCCTCATGCACACATAGGGCCCTAGGGGTCCTTGAGCCCCTGCCCTTTTTGCCTTGTATTAAAAAATGCCCTCTTTTCTTTTTTTTTTGTTTGTTTCTTGTCAGGTCTAAAGTACATGGTTCAAGGTTTAGATACAAAGTTTATTGTGACTTTGCTACTATTGTGTGGGCTAACAAAATAATAATGATAACTAGGAAATTCCAGGGAAATGTTTTATATGTGCCTGCCCGCTTGCCGATTCGTTGCTGTTTGTCACTGATTTACTCAGATTTAGGCCATGTTTTGGGTGGAGATACATGAGGGCATTAATGCGTTAAGGGCTACTTCCTGTTTGGGGATGGTGTGGTCATCCAAGATGGCTGTAGAGTGGGACATTCTTCAGTGTGGGGTCACGAGGGGATGTGTCAAATATGATGCTTGATGATTTAGGACCTTTGTCATGAATCTGACTTGAAACTCAAGGCAACTGGCTGACTCTGTGTTGTGGTGTCTGGAAGACAGCTGTCAATCAAGACCAGGGCTGTGTCCGAAAATGGCATACTACTCCTACTACTCCTACTAACCCTGCCTCTGAATTGAGTAGGCAGTACGTTCACACTGTACAGTATGCGAATTTTGTGTATGCGAGAAATGCCCAGATGTATACTCAATCGGCTTCGATTTCTGAGTGTGGAACGGAGCTTGCTTCATGTACTGCTTCTGCCCCACAATGCATTGCGCACCTCAGCTGGTGATATGGCCCTTTCCCGAGGCTGAAAAGAAATAGATGGCATGTGATTACAATAATAATTCTCTATATATATATAAATAGATAAACAATATTTAGTCAGTATACATTACACAATTTTTATCATTTTGATCTTTTTACCAGATTTATTTGTATTTTAAATAAGTGTCTATTAAAGATGTATATATATATATATATATATATATATATATATATATATATATATATATATATATATATATATACATGTTAAATAGATGTTAAATTATGACATTTATCCACTCTTTAAAAAGGGCAGCACCCACCTTTAATAGAGGGAAAATAAAGAAAAACAGTTCAGTTCAGAAATTAAACATTTAGTCAATCTTTAATTAATCCCATATCTCAAGCTGGAGTTCTCATTTCAGACAAGAACTTCAAAAATAAATTATATGTTTTTTATTACAAGTTCAATAATGTTACAAAATAATTGTGATAAATAAAGATGAATTATGATTATTGCAGTAAATGATAGAGACTGTATATGCTCATTAACTTTGCTGTAGAGAATTTAGATGAATTTAGGATTACTTTAATTAGTAATAGTTTAAATCATGAACGCATGAGACAGCCGCCCTGTTTTTTCCTGATATAATAATGGCTGATAACTCTTTTTTTGGTATCCTTGGTGTGGAGAATCTGTACATAAATATTCCTCATGATGGGGAATTAGAAGCCATGCAGTAATGCCTTGAATCCAAGAAAGATGAACTCCCTGAGGAAATACTTCTATCCAAGTTTATTCTTAAGGCTAACCATTTCATGTTTGATAGTAAGTCTTAACTACAGACCAAAGGTACAAGCATCTGATCACCATTTGCACCATTCGGGTCCTAATTATGTGGGAATAATCAATATACAGTATCTTCAACAACAATCCCTTTGCTAACAATATTCTATTGTTTAAAGGTATATTGATAATATTTTCATGGTTCTGAAAACAAACTTAGAAAATTCAGTGACGACAGAAACAACTCCTACCCCACCCTACATTTTAAAATGAAACAGTCCCGAAAAAAATACATTTCTAGACTTTTTGATAACCGCAAATGTGGAGAGAAACAAAAGACATCTGTCTATTGAAAGGACACAGACAGAAATACCATCTCACATGCTGCAAGTTTTCACCCTCACCATGCAGTCAAAAATTGTCCATATGGTCAGTTTATGAGATTAAGGAGAATGATAAAGACAACAAAGCTAAAGCTAATGAAATTTCTCAACATTTTATTCAAAGGGGCACTTATCAGACACCTAGGGCTCTATTTTCGTGCCTCGCCGGAGACGTGCCGCAGGCGCGGCGTAAGTCAGGTCCGACGCGCCGACAAGGCGTTCCCAAGCACAATTTGGTATTTTGGTGAGCAGCGCAGCCCGGCGTAAGTATCCCCCCTCCCTAACTCAGCTCCTCCCAGCGGCGTAAGTCGTAGCGAGGGAGGAGAAAGGGCGTGGAGTGGGTTTAACACAGGCGAGACCTGTTTTCACCAATCACATCAGCTCCTCTCCTTGCCTTTAAATCCGCCACAGGCGAGGCGTATTACTATTTTCATGAAGTAGTCAAAGAGATCAAGAGATGTCTGAAGACAGTTATGCCACACGATGGCGACAGAGGGCAGTTCCTCAACAAGTGTCACTTTAAGCGCTGCATTGGGCGTCCTCTACACTCTCTCATATGAGCCCAGATGGATTTGGTGTGTGTAATGTTGGACCCACTGGTAAGACAAACACCCTTTTCCACAAATAAAGACACTCACATAAAGTTGCACATATTCAAACCTCATGTGACAAAGGTGGGTTGTGCGCACAGATCACAACATAAACTCCAAAAATGGCATTAAAATCGGAACCATCTGTGTGTAAATGACGCATCGCACTCCTAGGCCTGGCTCTTTCTTTCATAGATGTTGGCATATAAAATAAATTTGGCCCACAAAACTGAATATTATAATATCCGTATGTCGGCTTAAAGTAGATAACGCACCTAAGCACTGAAACAAATCATCTGTTCAGCCGCTGCAGCTGGAGCAGGACGGAGAGAGGACACGGAGACGTGTCCAGGTCGAGCTGTGCGAGAAATAAGAGGAAGAGGAAGAAAGAAAAGGAGGGAGACGAATTACATATCTTGTTAACTTCGTGTGTTTATTTACTAGATATTTAATTCAATTTAATGCAGTTTCAGCTGTGTTGATTCGGTCAGGTTGTGTGTCCAAACGTGTGCCAAACGCGCTCATCAGATCAGATATAAATCAGAATATATCTTTATAGATCTAAATGTATGTGCTGACTCAGATTAATAGTTGATGATGATTATTTATTGCAGTGAAATGTGCCTGACACTGTGGAAACCTGCCGGTGAGGCATCGGTGACGTATGCTGATACGCCGCCGGTCTACCAAAATACTACTAGACCAGCTGCGCTCCGCCTGCGCTGAAAGCTGACCAGGTTTGAATCGGCGAGCTTTCAGCGCACTTTACACGCCACTGGTGAGCAAGAAAACGTCACTGCGCCCGCTGATTCTGTCGACACCTCCCCCTGCCACGCCACCACGCCCAGCTTGGCGGATCTCGGCTTGCCTCCGTGCGCCTCAGTCCATGAAAATACCAAACTGGCTGTACGCCGGACGAAAATACAACTGCGCGGGCTCCGCCACCCTCCTTCGCCTCACCAGCGTACATGAAAATAGAGCCCCTACTGTTCAATTTGTGGAAAATGCAAAATGAAAGGATGGGGGGCATTACTGTATTGCTCCCCCCAAGCAGAAGATAGATCTACTCCTGTGTCTGAGTATTCTTCAGCGTCTATGCAAGTCAACAAAATAATAAATAGACATTGGAAAGTGTTACAGTGTGACCACAGTCTGCTAAGCCCCAATTCTGCTTTAAGAGAGGAAGAAACTTTAGGGTCATTTTTGTCACCTCTATGTACTGTATATTGAACCTACACAAACCATTGGCTCTCTGGACAGATGTACCATAAATGAATGTACTATAAATGAGGTAGGTGTGGCAAGACAATAACGTCTTTCACCAGTTTCCTCCTAGATTTACTGTGGAGTGTCTTCCACCAGTTTGAAAACACAGAAAAGTTCTGATTGTTAAAATTGTCAATGTCACTTGACACCCCTTTAAGATATGGGTGCAACATTATGTTTGACCATAGAGACAGAGGGGGCGCTGTTTGACGCATTTCATGAAATGTTACATACAGGAATGACTCAGCTAAAACATGGAGAAGACACATGTAAGCTAATAAAACAGGAAAATTATCATAGAATTTTTTTTTTGGATTGTTGGCATTATTTTGATTGGGCTTATTCTAGCAAAGTTTCACCCCGAGGCACTGGGCTTGGGCTTTGGGGTGTTTGCCCTGTGGCCCTAATAATATAAAACCAGGAGCAAAACCACAGCCTATATCAGAGAAATAACTCATCCACCCTGGATCCAGGAGATCAACTGAAGAAAAATAGAAAACAGATTTGTGTGTAACTCCAGGAGTCTACAGCGCTCAGCCAAGACCAATCTCAAAGCCTCTACTGCTGACTCTTTAGCGCCATGAACATGAGCAGTCGGCAACTCCAAATTTAAAAAAAAAGATGTCAAGGCATGTCAAAACCCATTAAACAAAAAAAATATTGTGTGTGTGTTCTGGCATGTAGCCATTATCATTATTATTGTTTTTTTTTTTAGCTGCTGCTGCTGAAAGACCTGTCAGCAATGTCCGTCTTTTGCTCATCGACAAGCCAAGCTTATTTGAATTATTCAAAATAGGTACAGTGGGTGAACAAGACAACTTAACTTTAAACATAATGTAAAGTATAAGGACAACCATCCTCCTGAAGCTTGACACAGTGGGACATTCCCAGAACATCTAAAAATAACTGCCAATTGTTTTTAGGAGACATAAAGTGCAAATAGGGCAGCAATCGTTGTCTGTGTTATTATTTGTAGGCAAGATAAAATGTTGTCCAGTCTAACCTTTGGCAGATTACTGAACACCAATGTTCTATATATTATTATCCTCTTTTATGTAGGCTTTAAATTTAATCCAGTTTGAGCATTGGTCAGAAACCTTTCAGTAATGAGGGGGCTGCTAACCTTCAGAGGATTAATTCCAGAGAAGAGACAGCAGCTAAAACGAAGTGTTTTAGATAGAGGCTGAGATAATGTCATTTTAATACACCAGAGAGAGAAACAGGAAGCTTCTTTTAAATCTGAAAATCATATAAAGCTATTAAAGAGGTATCAGAAAGAAGTATACCCTGAAGTATTCTGCGATATTTATGTTGACATTTCTGTTCTCATTCATCTCTCCTGAAATTGAGTACCGGCAACTCTGCTGCTGTCTTCTGGATTACAGGACAGGATCTGGCCCTCCTTTTCCCTAAAAGAGATGGCCAGGGTCCAGTCTAGCCCTTCAGGCTGCTCTCGCATCTGTGTGCTGCTTTTGGGGTTTTTCAGCTTCCGGGTTCTCTGATGTCTTTGTGATCAGAAAAACACAGATCACAGAAAATTTTAGTTTTGCCACAGTGTCTTAGGGGTGGAGCCAAACCCGAATACTGTATACGGAAAGGCAAAAATAACGTGTTTTTTTACAAATATTTATTTTGAACAAATCCCAAACTTATGCCTGGTTGTAACAATTCTGCATGAAAAAAATCTCTTTTGAATGTAGTGTATTACAGATAATCCATTTAATCTTTTTTTTTTTTTTTTTTCATCTAAAAACAGAGTAGCATCATGACAAAAACCTGGCACTAAAAGTGTTAATTAAGTGTTAATTAAAAATGCATCAATATTTTATATTAACAATTAGGGCAGATGTGGACAAAAAATGAGCCCAGACAAAAGTGCAATCCAATAATATTTAATTATATTTCCTTAAATGAGCATGTTATGCACAAAACAATTTAAGTGTGAGTATTTGGCACTGTGCAAAAATTAATGCATAAATTTTAAAGCTGCATGTGATCATTGACTTAT